AGAACCTAAGAGAGATATGCATGGTACCCCAGAGAAGAGGAATTAGGCAATATCTCCTGAACAGATTGGGAAAACGGCGGGGGTAGGGGTCTTGGGTATTGGGAGCTGGGGAAAAGAGAGGCAGAGAAGAGGAGAGAGTAGGTCATGGGGAAGCAAGAAAGTTGAATTGAGGGAAGAATAGGGGGAGAGAAGGATGAGAAAAACCATAATATACATTGTCATTGTAGGTTTGAAGAGAGATCTAGCACCAGTGAGACCTCTAGCAATCTAGAAGATTGACACCAACAAGCAAACTAAGCAATAGTGGAAAGACTACCTTAAATGCCTATACCTGATAATGAACTTGATGACTACCTTATAGGCTATCCTAGAACCTTCATCCAGTGACTGATGGAAGCAGAAGCAAACACCCACAGTTAAACACTGAACTGAACCCCTGGAACCCAGTGACAGAGAGAGAGGAGTCGTGAGCAAATGGGTAAAGAATGATCTGGGGAAACCATCAGAAACAGCTGACCTGCACAAGAGGAACTCTTGGACCCCAGACTGACAGCTGGGTGGCCAGCATGGGACTGATCCAAACCCTCTGAATATGAGAGTCAGTGAAAAGCCCTGGACAACCTATGGGGCCCTGGGCAGTAGATCAGTATTTATCCATAGCATACAAAAGGACTTAACGTGTTTATAACACAAAGAGGTATGCTCTCTCACCTAGGACTCTTGGGGTTGGACCTGGACTCTGTCCTGAATGAAATGACAGACTCTGGATATCCCCTATGTAGAAGGGAGTGGGGATAGGGTGGGAGGCTGGGGGGATGGTGGGGTATTAGGAGGAGAGGAGGGAGAGGAGCTGGAATTGACATGTGAAGCAAGCTCTTTTCTAAAAAGTATGTAATAAGAATAATGAAAAAAGAAATATTAAAAAATATTTCATTTTACAATGTCATCACATTTGTTTCATCCAGTCTTCTGGCATAATTTTTATCCCATACAGTGTTTATTTTGGGTAATAGTTCTTAGAATTAAGAACACTGATGAGTTTGTGAGTCCGATTCCCAAGACTTTGCATATGTCTCTGTGACACCCATATGCTATTTCATATTTTTCACCAGTATAAATCTACAAGCAGCAGGGAAGAGCCTTACTTTCTACAAACTCTTGTCAATATTTGTTATTTGTTATTGAAACACCATACATTCAGCTGACATTTAGCACCTCATTATGACTTTAAACTCTAGTTTTCATGAGTATGGTTGCCACTGAATGGATTTTTATTTAGTTTGTGCACAGTAATATGTTTTCTATGGAACACTATAATTATACTTATTAGTATATTTAATTTTTATGTTTACAAACTGATACCTATGTAAGAATATTTATTATATTTTTAATATACCATTTATATTTTGTACATATATATTGCAAAATGTATAATCAGGATTAAAATATTCATCTTCTCAAACACTTATAATTCTCATTTTTGTTTTTTTTTGTTTTGTTTTGTTTTGTTTTTTGTTTTATGAGACAGGGTTTCTCTGTATTGTTTTGGAGGCTGTCGGTCCAGCCTGGCCTTGAGCTCACAGAGATCTGCCTGCCTCTGCCTCCCGAGTGCTGGGATTAAAGGCGTGTGTCACCACTACCTGGCTCATTTTTTGTTTTTTAAGACAGTGTTTCTCTCTATAGCTTTGTAGACCAGACTGGCCTCAAACTAGCAGGGATCTTCCTACCTCTGTCCCTCGAATATTGGGATTAAAGTCATGTCCCACCAACACCCAGCAACACTTAAATTTCTTTATGTGGTGATATTCCAACTCTTTTCTTGTAACATTTTTAAATTTGTAGAACATATTGTGTAGAGACAGAATAGTACTGGTCTTTGTATATTTGAAATTTTATTAATCAAGACTTGGTCTGCCCGCTTTATACATGTTTATGTCCTCAGAGCCATTCCTTTTAAAAGAAAAAAACAACCAAAGAAAACCATGGTTTGTTTGAATAGTAGTCATCTCTATAAAACTCAAAATAGCTTAGAACTGAAAGTACTCCTATTTCATCATCACAAGCAGTGTCCAAAGGAAGTGGTTATCAAATATATTTAACAATAACTAATCTATAGAATTTGTCTATACCATGTTTGCAAATTTGGCATTCTTTTCTGGTTTCTAGCTGTTGGTGAGGGGACCAGCATTCACATAAATATACATACATGAATATGTATAAACACATTTTACAATATCTTTTAAGAAAGAAAAATAACTAATGGCAATGGGATATATGACACAGAGAGGATAAGAGTTAGAGGTGGGTACTGGGGCATCACATGATTTGAGTGTTCAAGACTGCATTGGGAATCTGATCTTAAAGATGAAGATGGACAACAAAATTTGTATTTCTAAACTCACTTATATCCACTCTAACAGGCATATATGCAAATTCCCAGCTGCCATGTATCTTTGAAACTAAAAGTTAATAATTTTAACTTTCTGGGCAAATATAATTATGGTTACTACCTTAGGATCTCTTAGTGGACAATAAGCCACTGCCATATATTTACAAAATGAAGTCCTTCTTCCTTAAACACCATGGTCAATCATGTGTGGTAGAATATGATTTTCTACTTTCCCAATGGGTCTAGGCTAAGACCAGACATCAGGTGAGACCACATCTTTTCTTTCCACATAATAGTTGGCTTTCCTCATTTCATCCTTTCTGTTATTGCTTTCTTAAAATGCCTTCTCCTTTAATCAGATTCATGACTACCATAGTTGTCATCATAGAACTTTCATTCAGTAACTGATGGAAACATATGTAGAGATCCACAGGCAAGCAGTTGGCTGAGCTTGGGGAGTCCTGTTGAAGAGATGGAGGAGGGATTTTATGAGAAATCATGATGGGAAAAACCAAAGAGACAGCTGATCTGAGCACATGGGACCTCAGAGACACTAAACCAATAGCTAGGGAGCCTGCAAGGGACCAACCTAAGCCCTCCGCATGTGGGTGATTGTTGATTAGCTTGGTCGGTTTGTGGGATCCATAGCAGTGGGGTCAGTATCTGTTCCTGGCACATGAGTTTCCTCTTTGGTACCTATTACCTATGTTGGGATTACTTGATCAATTTTGATGCTGAAGGGAGGAACTTGGACCCATCTCAACTTGATATGCCATGCTTTGTTGACTCTCTTTGGAGGCCTTACACTTTCTGAGGAGTGGATGGGGAGTAGAAAGAGGTAAGGGAGGGAATGGAAGGAGAGAAGATAAGAGAAACAGTGATTGTATGTAAAGTTAATTTTAAAAATTAATAAAAAACAAATTTACATTTCAGGTTTAAAGAATTCTCAAAGAGACACAAGGAACTTGTTATTCAGAGAGGATTAGAAAGAATGAAACCCCAAGTTCTGAATTATAATACTGAATGGGTTTAAAATGATACACTAGAATAGGTGAGTATTTGTAAGGGTTAGTAGATGTGTCTCCATATGTAACAGAACTGACTTTCCATTATAACTGGCAGTCTCTGGTCAGAAGTATTTACCCTACATTGTCTGGGGAAATTATCATGGCCTTCTGTGAGAGCATGTTATCATAAGATGTTGCATATTCTCCTTATGTATCACTCCCACCACCTGAATTACCTTCTAAAACAATATAGATTTCTATCTACTTCAAAATGTGACCTATGAGTTGACATACTACATTACAAAATTCTGTATGATTAAATAAATTTATCCAGAAACTTTAGGCAGAGATTCTTGTCCCTGCCAGGTCCCCAGTGAGAGTAACAAATATACAGAAGGAAATCTCCCATCAGAAACATGTGTGATGATAAAGAAAAGAACTACAAGTTGTATCAGATTAACTTTATTGATGTACACATGGCAGGTTAATATACATCAAAAAATGCATTGATGGATGGCTCTGTCAAAGTATGTGTCAGCAACATGACCAAAATTGTCTTCACAGTGAGGAAAAGTGCATAAGCAATTTATACATATGAATATTAAAAGCCACTTAAAGAAATAGAAACAAATGAGGTCTTGGTAGGAAAAGTTTGACAAAAGAGAGGAAATAAGGGCAAAATGATGTAATTATATTTTACTTCCTTAAAATTAAAAAAAAAGTATCTATGGTTGGGCAAGATGGCTCAGTATGTAAAGGTGCTTGCTCAGCAAGCCTGGTAAGTTGTGTTTGATCATAGGAACCCAAGCAAAGGTGGATGAGAAAACTAATACCACAGATGCCAGAGGACTGACAAAAGGAACATGGAATGAATGCATGTCCACTAATGTGTTCACATTCATATATAAAATAATAATAGCAGATATTGATGAAAGATTAGAAAATTAAAAAAATAAAAAGGAGGGATTTAAAATCAGGGAAATTGGAATTTGGGGATTAATTATCATTTACTTCCTACACCAAAATATGGGAGAATCTAGGAAACAGTTTTGATAAAATCTGTGAGCATTTACAAATGAGACGACTGAAGCCCTGAATAGTTTTCTAATCATTATTGTATTCAGTCAGTCCCTGCCATGGGAAAAGAAAGTCACTGAATAGTAAAATATTTATGTTAAGTTACTAATGAAATTATGGAATAACAAAGGATCACTAGTCAAGACTTAACTTCCAAAGGCATTTGTGTAGTTATATAATGTTCAGCATTGAAAGGAGAGCCACAATTTTCTGATATGAAAGACTCTAGAAAGTTGGATCATCAGCTCAGAGCTTTTCTGGAAGAAAGCAGATATAGAAAATTGGTACTTGGAATAATTCAGAGGCTGGGAGTGTGTGTATACATGAGTTTTTTTGTTGTTGTTGTTGAGTGTCTGGTGTGAAAATTAACCAACTTGAGTTAGGCCCTTCCCATTTGAAGCACATGTCTCAGCTTCCCTCAATGTAACATACATTTAGCAGTTACTTGATTCAGTAATGTGTAAGTATGTCTTTGACATCATCCAAAGTATCCATTCCAGTTCATCTTAAGTTGCATGATTATTGGTTTATTTGTCATCTGACTGAATTTTTCTAGTAAACAATATCTTAATGGCATTTTTCATCTGATTATTTCTCAAGGTATAGATCAATGGATTAAGCATGGGTGTTATCACAGTATAAAAAATAGCAACTGCTTTGTCAAAGGGTAATGTTCCTGCAGGTCTCATGTATTCAAATATGCAGGGTACAAAAAATAAGACCACCGCTATAATGTGAGAAACACAAGTAGAGAGGGCTTTTTGTCTTCCTTCTGTACTGTGGGTTCTTAGTGAGTAAAGGATGACTGTGTAGGAGATGAGCAAAAGGAGGAAGTTTAACAGACAGATGAAGCCACTGTTGGCAGCAACAAAGAGCCCTAGAATGTGGGTATCAATGCAGGCTAGATCAAGCAAAGGGTTCAGATCACACATAAAATGATCTATGACATTAGGGCCACAGAAAGGTAGTCCAATGATGAAGAGAATTTGTATACCTCCATGAAGAAAGCCTCCAGCCCATGACACCCCCACAAGTAAATCACAAAGTCGTCTGTTCATGATGATTGCATAGTGCAGGGGTTTGCAGATGGCAACATAGCGGTCATAGGCCATGACAGTAAGCAAGATGACCTCAGCACCTGCAATGAAATGTTCCGCAAATACTTGGGTCATGCAGCTGTTGAATTCAATGGACTTTCTATCATGGAGTGAATCAACAATTAACTTAGGAGTATTAACAGAGGCATAGCAGGCATCAATGAAGGAGAGATAGGCCAGAAAATAGTACATAGGGCAACCCAACAGTTGGCTGTTTGTAATGGTGATCAGAATGAGCAAATTTCCAACCATAGAGACAAGGTAGATGATAAAAAACACAGCAAATACGATATTCTTCATTTGTGGGTTCTGTGTGAGTCCCAGGAGAATAAACTCAGTCACATTGTTCCTGTATTCCATCTGGTTCATGAGACAGTTAATCATATTTCCTGGGGGGGGGATTCATACATACTCATGTTTATTTAATTTCTATATTCTAATCATTAGTGTTTAGATTCTGTTAATTAATAAAATATAATCAAATTTTCTTCTTAATATTGCATTAAAAGTATTCTAGGTATTTATGACTACTTAAGACCACAGAGTTGCCTTTTCAGAGGTGATACCTGAAAAAATTATGGATAATTTCATATAAACCAGATGGTTTTCACCATTTTTCTACATATTTTCATATTTTCTTCTATATAACATGTAAAAAGAGAAATTATGCTTCCTGCCTCAGATTAGCTGAAAATTTGACAGTGTTAGTGATTTCTGCTATTTTGCTTCTTTGGAAATGTGATGCAACAGTGACCAAGTACATTATTTCAAGAATTGTAGGAAACAAATAATGGTTCTGGTTCTGCCTTTTGTCACTCACCTTGGGTTCATTTCTTGGCAATCAAACACCAGCTTCTTCATCTATCTATAAAATGGTAATAAGAATGGTATTACATAATTTACTAGGAGAATAGCTCAAAATGTGAAAGGATGCATCTTGGAAGGCTACAATTTATCTTTTAAAGCATGAATACAGTTACCATATAAATATAATTGATATTTGGGCAGCAATATAGAGAGACATTTAACCTTACAATAACTTAGAAGGAATACATTTTAATACTTTAAAAGAAGCTACAGAGACTTGTAATATTCATAACACAAAATCCCCAAATTAATTATGTGTTCATACTTGGAATCCCAAGCTTATATTTACTCCCTCAATATTCCTTTTTAGTATTTTTCATGTGTGGTCAAGCTAAACTGTGGTGAACCTCATGATTCGCCTTAGTTTCTAAAAGAGGTATCTCAAGATAAAACAATGACAAGTGGATCTAGTCCACTTATTTATTTTTGGGTCTCATATTGACATGAAGTAAATGCAGAATACTTAATATCATGAAATGTTAGGGTGAGGGTAAAACACTCTGTCTTTAATTGACTAACTTAGAGAAAAACAGACTCCTGTGTACAAAGTCACAGTATCAACTAATCATCAACAGTGTTGAAGGACATACCTCTGCAGATTTAGCTCTCAATGTGAGCTCTTGAGTGCTCAGAAGAGACATGGGCAGATGAACTTTCAGTAGAAAATTCCATCACCTTTGCAGATATCCAAACAACATGTATTAAATAATATATCCATGAAACCTCCCCTCTTTCCAAAACGTAAACATGATTCACTGACAACATGGGTCTTTCATCTAGAATGGATTCTTTTAATACACTATGTAGAGATGATCTTTTATTTCTGATTCTGGAAATTCATTCTGAAAGCCAGGGGCTGCCAAAGTCATATAAAAGTCTCCCATAAGAATTTCTCTACTCATGGTGAATCATGCAATGGATATGTGATGTGCAATGAGACAACATTTGTATCCCACATCACAAGGGTATTTAAAGATGTTCCCATGAATTTCAGCAATCTTGTTATTGTGTTTTCTCTCCCAGGAATTAATTATCTCTCTTGATGGAAAGACTCTGTCTTAGAATCTGGTGTTTTGGAAATTAATGAATGACTTACCCACTCTTCAATAGAGAATAGAATTCCCCGAGCTTAGAATGACAGCATGTAGTAGACACTTTCTCTTTCTAACAGTGTCTGGTTAAGAATACTGAATGCCATGTAAGCAACGTGTCTTCATTCTAGCATGAACAATAGAAATGCAACTTCTCTTATAATAAGTAGAACATGAGGAATATTAGTAATCTTATCAGTGTGACACTATTTCTGTAAAGCTGCTTAACACCTAATCCAATGAAGGTAAAAAATTGATAACCATTTTAAACAATAACTTCAACAACTTTACCTCTGACATTTCTGAGTGTTTTTGATCTTTGCCAAATCTCTACAATTCTCCACATTGTACTCATCTCCAAGTTATATTTATTGGCAGGGTTAGTTTATGGAGTCCTGTCCCAAACAAAACAAAACAAAAACAACTACAGTGTATGAGTTTCAAACTTATCCTTTGCTGTATTAGTTATTCCATATTTCATTATGCATTAAGCTGATTATTTTTAAATCATTTTAATAATAATTTTTTACTATATGATCTCATGATGCATGGATGACCATGCACTCGCTATGAAGCAGAGCATTAGCTGAACTCCTGATTTGTCAATTGCAGGGTCTACTTCCTGCATCTTTTCATTAATACAATTAGGTCTTTTATATTTTAATACACCTATATAAAACATTCTGGTTAGTCTTATATCTTGGTTGTGAGCCTAGGTGTTAATGGGTGAGCCATCTCTCCAGCTCCATTATGACTATTCTCACTGACACACTCTCTCATTTGCTCCCTAATCCGTGTTAAAACAAACAAACCTTTCTACTAATCTCTTTACCACATTTACATCTTCATTTCTTCTTCTTCTTCTTCTTCTTCTTCTTCTTCTTCTTCTTCTTCTTCTTCTTCTTCTTCTTCTTCTTCTTCTTTTTCTTCTTGCCAATTGTGTTTAACCAGGGCCATCTGAGTGACAACAGGGAGAAAAATGTCCACCGCAGTCTGGATCTCTAGTGGTTATAAAACTGAAGGAAGTGACATTTTTTTCTCTTGGCATTCATCAATAATTTACACATCACTAGGTAGGTTGGGGATATATGAACCTCTTTTTACCATACCATGACTGACATCACATGCACTGTCTTGTTCAGACATAGTGGAGGTAACCACAGACATTCTGACTTAATGATTATAGTGGATGTGCCAAACTCCCAAATAACACTTCACAGCAGTTCTTCAATCACATGACTCTTACAATATTTAGACTCCCTTTTTAACAATGCTGAGTCTAAAGTGTTGTATGAATGTACTGTATAGGGCTGAGCTCTCAATCATCACTGATCTCCAGCAACTTCAGTTGCCATAAGACACTAAATTCACCACTATTCAGTGAAAGGTGAACCTTCTCTTATTTTGACTGAGTATAGTGTTAGTTTATGCCCATAAACATAGAGATTTAGAATCACTTTTATATCACTTTTATTCTCCTTAAATTTAGAAACAATTTAAGTCCATTCTGTCCCTGGCCCCATGGCTATGACTTCACTGGCTATGTTATTTTTCCTCAAGTTTACAGTTCTTTCTTTGGTGTAGGCTTCAATTCTAACCTGAATTCAGCAGGTTGCCCCCATAGTACACATGCTACTAATGTAGAAACAGGAATACTTTACAAGGTACACAGCTAGGTGAAACTATAAATTTCTCTGGCCCACCATCTTGGATAATACCTTTCAGAATTATGTACTCCAGCCAGGAATGAGGGTTCTGGTGGGCTTCCAAGAACAATGGAAAGAGACAATGTTGTTTTGGGACTTATGAGGCCTTCCTGGTCAATAATGTACAGGGAAATACAACACATCTGGCACTAAAATTGTTGTTTGGTTACTCATGATTTCTGTAATTGGCATTGTCCATCCATGAATTCTTCCTCAATTCTAAGTTACTTTAAAATTATTTTATTAGTTTCTAGAGTAGTATGTTTCCTTGTGTCTTCTTAATACATCTCAGTTTAAGTTAACACTCAACCTTTGCGTATCACCTTTTTGCCTACATCTTCCTGGTTTAAAACTTATCACACAAGAATTTCACAAATTCTGCTCCCATTCCGCAACATTTTCACTATCTTCCCTTGTTTGCCCTCTTCCCACACCCTCTGGTCCTTTTGGTAAGATTCTTGGTTGTCGCTACAAACATTCCATATTAAACAAAGAATTAAGACACAGTTACAGGTTGGGAGACTTTTGATGACTGCCTCTATTTCCATAGGGGTTATAGGTCTATTTAAATTGCTTATCTGTTCTTGATTTAGTTTTGGCAAGTGATAGCTATCCAGGAACTCGTCCATTTCCTTTAAATTTTCGATTTTTGTGGAGTACAGGTTTTCAAAGTATGACCTAATGATTCTCTGGATTTCCTCAGAGTCCGTTGTTATGTACCCCTTTTCATTTCTGATTTTGTTAATTTGCATGTTCACTCTCTGCTGTTTGGTAAGTTTGGACAAAGGTTTGTCTATTTTGTTAATTTTCTCAAAGAACCAACTCTTCGGTGCATTGTTTCTTTGTATGGTTTTCCTAGTTTCTACTTTATTGATTTCAGCCCTCAATTTGATTATTTCCTGGCGTCTACTCCTCCTGCGGGAGTTTGCTTCTTTGTGTTCTAGAACTTTCAGCTGTGCTGTTAATTCTCTAGAATAACTGTTCTCCAGTTTCTTCATGTGGGTACTTAGTGCTATGAACTTCCCCTGTAGCACTGCTTTCAAAGTGTCCCATAGGTTTGGGTATGTTGTGTCTTCATTCTCATTGAATTCGAGGAACTCTTTAATGTCTTTTTTTATTTCTTCTTTGACCCAGGAATGGTGCAGTTGAACATTATTCAATTTCCATGAGTTTGTAGGTTTCCTGCAATTTGTGTTGTTGTTGAATTCTAATTTTAAAGCATGGTGGTCTGATAAGATGCATGGAGTTATTCCAATTTTTTTGTAGCTGCTGAGGTTTGATATGTTGCCAAGTATGTGGTCGATTTTTGAGAAGGTTCCATGTGGTGGTCAGAAGAAGGTATATTCTTTTTTATGTGGATGAAATGTTCTATAGATGTCTGTTAATCCCAGTTGGGTCATTACTTCTATTAGACCCTTTGCTTCTTTGTTGAGTTTCTGATATTCTTGTCTAATGGTGATAGTGGTGTGTTGAAACCTCCCACTATAACTGTGTGGGGCTTTATATGTAATTTAAGTTCTAATACTGTTTCTTTTACGAATGTGGATGCCTTTGTACTTGGGTCATAGATGTTCAGGATAGACACTTCATCTTGGTGGATTTCGCCTATAATGAGGCAGACTCCTATGGTTAAGAACTGAGCTGAACTCAAGAAAGCCAGTAACAGAGAGGGAGGATTGATCATCAAAGGGATTAA